TAATCCTCGAATATCTTCTCCGGATGCACCGCTCTCACGGCACACTGGAAAACGTGACGCATCTGCTCCCACGTCCGACGTTTTGCCATAATGCCTTCGTCTTGCAGATGCTGAAATGATATACAGTTGTAGTATATGAAATATTATTTAAAACACTTTAAACTTTACAACTCAAGTTCCCACTTATGAGAGATGCACTTTTTCAAATCAATATGCCGATTCCTCCACTAATATCGTCAGACAACGATAGTCCAGCAGGATTCGCTCCACGCTAAGGAGTAGAACTTTGTTTATATTTGTTTTAAAGAACGAATGTGCATATGCACAGCTTTTATCAATACACACCTTGCGCCTTTCAGGAAAATTACAAATGAAACAGCACTTTCATACGCTGCGAGTTGGAAATCTTGTTTAACTTATCATATCGGCAATCAGCTGCCGGGTCAAATTTGTAGGTGAAAACAACTGTTGTTGTTTACTAAGAAATTGCATTAGAGATGCGCAAGTGAAATGTAAATAAGGCACACGTAACTATCGAACCGCAATATAGCACGACTTTGCGCTGAGAAAAAATCCTTATAAAACTAATCAAGTATTTTTTGATAATGTGTATCTTACGACAGCTAATGTACACAACATTTAAGTAGAAATAAAAATTCAGTACGTATATTACAATATTAAAATTAAAATTATTTTTGAACATATGCACTGCTTGCATGCTCCCTGCCATCGAACAGCTTATAAATACATCGTTTGTGACTCATATCACTTAGCCTGACAGCAGGAACAAGACTACAAACTGAAGCTGATAGCTATGACAAGCGGCATACATTACTCACTCAACCAAAACATAGATGGCGACCTCAGTGCTAGCTGATAAAGGCATTTAAAAATACAATTAATTTTACACGCCAATTGTGCTCTCTAGTGAAGAAATTGGCAATAACACGAAATGAGCAAATTAGTAGGTGTTACATGGTTGTTGAAGCGACACGTGTATTTCACTCATGGTATAAACTTCAAATAATTTAATTGCATAAAAACAAAAATACATAATTATATATGTGTGCACATATATAAATACAATTATGAATTACAATGTAGTACACCATGTTGTAATGTATATCACGATCCCAAACAAAAGCTAATAGCTATGGCAATGAAACAGCATGCCTACTCAATCGAAACATAGATGTCGACTCTAGTATCTGCTGATAAAAAGCATTTAAAAAGTGAAACATTTGGAATACCGAATTTCATTCAATAATGACCTAATTAACTAACTCACAACATGTTGCGAATTAGCAGGTGTTGTTGCCTACGTGTGTGGGTGTTTACATATTAATGTCAACGTCTCGAATCTCTACGCGCCGCAAAGATCGCACTCTTTGATTAGGCGCCACTTTAAAAGGCGCGCACTTTCGCTGCTGGAGGCACAGTTCCAGCTAGAAGCTCAAATGAGGCCAACCACAACGGTGCTACTGCTGCTCGGTAAGCATTTTTCATGCTTCAGTTACTCCCATTTCATTTGTGCCCAATTTTCCGTAGCTGGCATTTGCTCTTGCTTCGGCAATCCCATCCTGGGCATACTGGATCCCAGCTGCTTTGTGGCTACTGAGGCTGTCTGTCCCAATGAGAATGTCACCTTCTGGCTATACTCCAAGTATGTCATCTTCCGCTTCACCTTCTCGGATTTATAAATTCATTTCTTTCCCTCTTTACAGCGCCACGCGCGATGCTCCCATCCAGCTGAATCCCGTTGATCTGAATCCCTGGGACTTTCAGCCATCACGCCCACTGAAAATACTGTTGCACGGCTATACAGGCCACCGAGACTTCGCCCCCAACAACCACATACGGCCCGCTCTGCTGGACAACGAGGACGTCTATGTGATATCCATAGACTACGCTCCATTGGTGCGGGAGCCGTGCTATGTCGCGGCTGTGAGGAACCTTCCACTGGTCAGCAAATGCCTGGCGCAGCTCATTAACAATCTCATCGATCGCGGCATTGTGCCGCACGAGCTGATTCACATCATTGGCTTCAGCCTCGGTGGTCAGGTGGCCGGACAGGCGTCCAACTACTTGAAACGCAAGCCCAAGCGGATTACCGGCTTGGATCCGGCTAAGCCACTCTTCATCCTAAGCAACAATGCGCGTCGACTGGATGCTGGCGATGCGGAATTCGTGGACGTCATTCACACGGATACCTTGGGGCGGGGCATGATGCGTCCCATGGGCCATGTGGACTTCTATCCCAACTTCGGACCACTGCAGCCGGGCTGCCTGGAGGAGAATCCCAGCGACCCGGGCAGCTGCAACCACGAACGTGCACCGCGCTTCTATGCCAAGTCCATCGACTCCAGCTTGGGCTTCTGGGGCCGCCACTGCTCCAGCTGGCTGATTTACGTCTTTGGCCTGTGCTCCACACGCTCCAAGCTCGCTCTGATGGGCTACCACGTGTCGCAGCAGCTCAGCGGCTCCTTCTTCCTCAAGACACGCAGTCAGCCGCCCTACGCCATGGGCAAGCCAGTGGAAGAGGACAACAGCAAATACGTGGCCAAGTTCCACCTGAGCTCGAGGCACAGTGAAATCGAACACGATTTCGAGCCGCTACTGGGTGAGTCCGTACCCGAGCTGGAGGACAGCGATGTGGATACCAACGAACTGGAGAAACAACTGAACTGGCAGGAGTCGCTTGACGAGCCGCTCTTCTAGCTCTCCTAGCCACAATATCTCCGATAAGACTTATCTGCTATGCGATCAACTACCAACTAATCTAAAGTAATTAATTTATATCAGAATAATAAATGTATTTATTATATATTTCACTCATACCTATTTGCGAGGCAATATTATTTGGAATCATTCAAATTCCTAGGTTCAGCTAAGCTAATACTAATACTAATAATAAAATGTTAGTAGGAATCTAAAGTTAAACAACATTAGTAGTATTTAGATTATAACCGTATACTGCTTTGGTCTGGTAGCGTATCACCCTTATCTGTTACACAAAGCCAACATACCCAAACATTATTAAAAATTTTATTGAATGTAATACCAATAATTTAGACCACAAATTGAGTCTACGATCGGCAAGTTTTGCCTAGAGTTGGGACTACTCGAAAGTCACTTTATAGGCTTAGTTACCTTATCGGCTTGCGAAAATGGAGTTGAGCCCGCAGCTGGAGTGGATGGCTTGACCTACAATTGGGGCCTTGACTTCTTATCGGAGCCAGCGCATAGGGGACGCCTCAAGGGCCGAGTCGTGCTCAAGGTCAGGCGAAGTGAATTTAATAGAATTAGCATTAGGGAAGGCGGCCAATGCGCTCCAGCTGCTCGCGATGTGCAAATATCGGATGAATGCAGCGATTCCATTGATCTGCTGGCTGCTGTTGCTGTGGAGCAGCTCAGTGAGGCTGGACACGCCACGATTCCAGCGCGAGCCTTGTGTCTATGCCACGGATGAGTGTCCCAACTCGCGCATCAGCTTTTGGCTCTATACCAAGTGAGTGAGAGTCGGGCGCAGATGCTCCACTATATCTACTCTCTCTCTCTCTCTTTGCACTCTCCAGCTCCAGTCGTGATGCTCCTGTTCTGCTGGATGCACTTAATCTGCAGGCGAGCTCCTTTGAGCCTCGCCTACCTTTGAAGATTCTCATCCACGGCTTCACTGGCAACCGCAGCCTGACGCCCAATGCGGAGGTGCGCGACGTCCTGCTCCAAGCGCAGCCCGTTCATGTGATCTCCGTTGACTACGGCAGCCTCGTGCGGTTTCCCTGCTACTATCCGTGGGCGGTGCGCAATGCTCCGGTGGTGGCCAAGTGCCTGGCGCAGCTGATCGACAGCCTCTTGGCCAGCGGCATCTACCGGCGGGAGCAACTGCATCTCATTGGCTTCAGTCTGGGCGGCCAGGTGGCGGGCTTGACGGCCAACTTTGTGCAGGAGCCTCTATCGCGCATAACGGGTCTGGATCCAGCTGGACCTGGTTTTATGACCAATAGGCTGAGCGATAAGCTCGATGCGAGCGATGCCGACTTCGTGGATGTCATTCACACAGATCCCTTCTTCTTCTCCCTGCTGCCGGCCATGGGCCACGCGGACTTCTATCCCAACCTCGATCACTTCAGCCAACCCGGCTGCACATACATCAATCGCTGGCGCCCCTACAACTGCAACCACTTCCGCGCCGCCATCTACTACGGCGAGTCCATAGTTAGCGAGCACGGCTTCTGGGCCCAGCAATGCAGCGACTGGATGCAGTATTTCACGCGACGCTGTAGCCTCCACGCCCATCGCCTCAACACTCAAATGGGCTACTTTGTTTCAGAGAAGTAAGTTATAGGGTCTTATATATCCAGATCTAATTTTCCAACTCTTTTTCTCTCAATCTCTCATTTGCTTGCTTTCTTACATTCTCTATCTTGTTCTCTTCTCTGCTCGTTTCCTCTTTCTATCTCTTTCTCTGTCTACATCTGTCATTCTCTCTGTATCGCTCTACTACATTTTCTCTCTCTCTCTCTCTCTCTCTCTTTCTTCTTCTTCTCTCTCCGATTCCTTCTTTGCAGCTCATCTGGTTCCTTTTTTCTGAGCACTAATGAAAAACATCCTTATGCCAAGGGACCCATTTCAATAATCGTACCTGAAATATCGGAGTTCTGATAATCTACCAAGTAAATGAAATGTTAAGGTTTTTAAATATATCTCTTAAAATGTATGCAAGGTAGAGTCAAAGCAAAACTTTATAAGCTGGGGAGCATTTTCGATTGCTCGAAATAATTGCTCCAAATCGAGAACAGCCCAAAAGCAATAAAAGCTGCAAACAAAACGAATACTAAAAGCTCCTCAAGTCACAGAGCGAGCTTTTATATATATGTTGTTATATGTTGTTGTTGATTTTTTTTTTGTTTTTGTTTTTTTTTTTTTTTTTTTTTTGGGCACCGCGCTCCACAAACTTTTTGGGCTGAGCGCAAACAAAACCGAAAGACTTAAGACACGAACGCGAGCAACAGTTGCTCGCCAGCGCGCAAACGTGACGGACGTCCGCAGCTGAAATTCGGCAAATAAAGAGCTTTTGACAGCAAGTGCGAGTGTTTGCTCCGCCGCGAAAGCCAAGATCAAGTGTTGCACAAAAAGTGGTCGTTGTTGTCGTTGTCGTTGTTGTTGTTGGTGTTTGTGTTTGTGTTGTTTTTATTGTTATTGGTTTTGTACGGGTTTCGTTATTTTTTGGGCGTTTCGCGCGTACACCGCTAATTTTAACATATGCATAGCATCCGGCATTATGCCGCGACAGCTGGTTGTGCATTGAAATTGAAATTGAAATTGAAACAGAAATTGAAATCGAAATCGAGAGTGTGAAGCGAGTCCGAGTGCAACAACCCGCTGCAACATCTGTGGCCGCTGCATTCATATTTAAATAAATAAAAGCTAAAGTCAACAAAAACGGCGCGAATTGCATTTTGTTTATAAATGTCAAAGGCACGAAAACCTTGACCCACACAGTAAATATTTGTGAAGAGAGAGAAAGAAATATACATACATATATATGTATGTATATCTGTACACTTGCTCATAGATTCCAACTTATATAAGAGCAATTGACACAAATCAAAGTGAAGTGCGTTCCACACTGAGAGAAATAACAAATATGATTCGGCGGCTTCTGTGTTTGTGGCTCAGCTTCAGCGTTTTCATTGTGGATTTTGCCGGTTTGTTTGCATATATACATACCTACACATACATGCCCATATGTGCTCATACGTATAGGCACTGTGCTAAAAAGAAATCTCGTGTTTAAGTTAAAAACTTTTACTTTCGCTCTGGCTGCTGGGCAGTCGCTAACATTTATGACATCTGCTGACGCGTTTTTTTCTGAATATTTCTTTTGTTTACGTTTTTAATTATGGGGCACATAAATTGCACAATATTTATTTTTAATATTTTTGCTGTTTTTTATGACATTAGGCCATCAAATGTTGCCTGTTGTCGTCGACCTTGCTTCATATCATTCAGCAACAATATTTTGAAATTGATTTCGATTGAAAACATTAAGGTTGATGCTCTGCGCAGCACGTACTCAAAAGGCAGCAGCAGCAGCAGCAGTAGCCGCATTTACAACAAACAACTACTTATAACTATTTATAACAACTTATGTGTTTAGCCAAAGGCTTTTGTCTGTCTGCGACCAGCTCGAACGTGCTGTAGCTACAAATTCGACACACTGTCCAACAGACTTGCAAGGCACAAAAGAAATTAGAAATCAATTTGAAATGGGTAAAACAAGTGAATTTTTATTCTACTTGAAAAACATTGCACAGAAATGTTAGAGCGAAAACAAACATTTTTTTTTTTTTTTAATTTTTTTTTTTTAACAGCACTTTATTTAAATGTTACATTAAAAAAAATTTTATCATGAAAATAACAAAATTAATATCATAATCCACATCCAAATCTGAAATAAAAAATAATTGATTTTATAAGCCAATTTATATGAAAAAATAAAAATAGTTTAGTTTAAAAATCATTTTATATATCTTTAAAAGTTTTTTAGCTATGCACTTTTTGACTGGTTCACGCTTTTCCACTCATTGACTAAGACGAATTTAACAGCAATAAATTTACGGCTTTAAGACCGTGAACAAATTTTATGTAGTCGGTAGCGATAGTTTGTAATATTCTTATTGGATGTAGCTTTACTAAGGAAACTTTACCTAAAACCTCCTGAAAATAGAGTTTTTTTTTTTTTTTTTTTTTTTTTTTTTTTTTTAATTTTGGTTCAAATTAGAAAATTGTAAATGAATATAAATTGGGCACAATTGATTTTTATTGTTATTTTTGAATTTTTTATTTTTAGAGACATTAGCCTAAACAAGTTGACTTCAAGCACTTAAAATTTTATTTTTCAGCTCTAGATCATGAGCTATTAACCACTGTGGCTTGGGTCAGTTGGCCAAAAGCCAATGTCTTTTTTACCACTCACTGTTATTGTTGTAATATCTCTTCTTCTTGATCCTCTTCACATCGTTGTTGTGAATCAGCTTTACACAAATCGTGTTACACATATCTTGAATTAATTTAAAGCAACAAAGATGTGCAAAATGTGCCCTGCCCAGGCATCGGCTGTTGTGTTTTGGCCCAGTTAATTAATTGTGTTATCTGCACTCACACACACATATGCAGTATATATACATATGATAGCATATATGTATTCATATTTTTACTCGTATTCGTCTAGTTGTCCGTCTGTGTGTCTGCACCTTGACACCCATCGCTGCTGTATTTCGCAAGAGTTTGTGTTCAAGTTTATTGAGCGTGCCATTTTATGACCATTTTGTACTTTAATTGTTGTTATTGTTGTTGTTGTTAGGGCCATTCCACATTCAAAGGTGGCATTCAAAGGTGCCACGAATCGCTGTTCTGGCCCTGCGACCGGCTAATGGGGCGTATGCGCATTGCAAAAGTGTGTGTCACGAAAGCCAGACGAAGGCAGCCAACTGAATGCCAAAGTCAAGTGCTGAGTGTTTGCTATTTCGCTTTAATTAAAGTGCAGTGCAGCTGTCTTAGGTTATACAACATTAAATGAGCTATGGGAGCTATTTTTGCGAGACATCAAATATACACTAGCTGAACTAAATTTGTAATTCTTTTTTTAACTGCAAACATAATTTTATTTATTTAATTTTTAGTTCTTTAATCTTAAGTCACAGTTGACCTTAGCTATTTTTTAATGAACTAACAACATTAAATTATATAATAGTCTTGATAAATTGCCTGTTGACCTTCTCTCAAGAGCTGAAAGCCAAAAATATTATAAAGGCAAATGTTGCCATGCTGAAGAGCATTCTAATTACACTGTGCTACAAGTGTTGCGAACGAGTAGAACAGAAGTCACTTCAATTAAATTAATTAATTAACTTAAATTAACTTGATATATATTTGGCTTAACTATTGAATTAATATACGGTTCAAAGCAGCCTCTATATATATAGAAAACAATTTGAAATCATTATTAATATTAATATATATTTTTACTAAATTTATTATTTATTTATTATTATTATATTTATATATTATATATATTTGTCCATCATTAAGTGTTCCATCGCAGTGCTATTTTTATGACCGCAGCTGTAGTTATATTTTTAGTATAGACTGACAGATGTTTACCCCCATTTCACACAGAAGCCACAATCTGTCAAGCTCCTACTAGGAGTGGTCAATCTCAATGGGACATCTGCAGGAACTTAACTGTTAAATTGTGATATATAGAGATGCATACCATATACTAACATCCACGAGTGTATACTCATAATTATCACCGATTAGTCGAACAGCTAGACGGACATTGCACAATAACTAATTCACTCTTTTCACCTTGTGAATTCATATTATGTCATATGCTTAACCGCTTGCCTCTAATTGGAGCCCACATTCATATTTCATCAGTTGCCTTAATACTCACAAATTAGTTCAGGTTCCTGCTCGTAATTAGAGTTCTAAGTACAACTTTAGATCAACTTCAATTTGAGAATAACATGCAATAATCTAATATTTTCTGTAACTTCATTGTATTCCAACGAATTTCCGTTGAACAGAAATGATAAACAAAGAAAAAGCACAACAAATACTTCAAATGATTCAGGCCAAACAATTCGAGCCGCAGCATAAAAACCTATAAAAAAACGACCAAAAGTAAACAAACCCGTAGAGAGAGAGACAGCAGCTGTAAATATCAGAAAGACATAACAATTTAACAACAATAACAATTAAAAAAACAAAATACAATAAAAGTGGGAAAGGCATAAAAAAAAACATCTTTCACGTAAAGGCAAAGACGTAGCCAAAAGATGAACCAAGTCTCAAATTGTTGTTGTGGCTGTTGCAGTATTTGCTTTGGTTGTTATTGCTGCTGTTGTTGTTGTTGTTGTTACTGCTACTGTTGTTAGTATGCCATTGCCTATTGCTTGAGTCTTCCGCATTTGTCGCTTCCGTTTTCTCGCTTTTGAGGTTTCTGGAGCTGAGTTTTCTTCTCGACTTTTCCGGCTGACCATTTCGTGTATTACACGATTTCGACATTGCCGAAAAAGCCAACACGCTAAAATAGGCATTTAATTGGCATTCGTAGTGCTGGCTGGCAACGGACTCGAAGTACACGTCCGAAAACCAACTTACATAAGACACAAAAAGACGTTCGCCAAACGGTTCGCTGCTCAAGCGATGAAAGCGGCCAGAAAACTAAAAACTGAAACTGAAAACTCGCCGCAATTCAGCCAGAAACATGACTCGGCCCATTGCTAATTGCATTGCGGGGGAGCTGCAGTGCCACGCCCCCGTTCCGCCTGCCCCCCTCGGGTTGTTGGTCAAAACATAAACGCATTGACTAAACTGAATTATGCTGGGCTCTGCTGGCGATTGTGCAAAACAATCGCATGTCGCATGCTTAAGTTTACAACATATGAAAGAGGCAAAACCTGTAAAAGCGAGTTCAGTCAGGTCTGCACGACTACTAGATACTTGGTAGATATTGCTATTGTGGTTGTACGTAAAGAGATTATCAGTTAATGAATTCTTTATATTTAATAGTAAAGAGAATACAGAATTTCTGAGAATATCTATTTTTAAGAGATACAGTTAATTTTAATCATTCCAAAATCAAAAGAGTTGACTGAGGCCGATATGTATCGAACTGAATGACTTTATATCGATATTTATCGAAAGATAACTATATCTATTAAATAATAATCTGTTCTGTAGTCTCATAGAAAATTAAAAAAAAAATTGAACTAATTTCAGAATTCTATGATAATGTTATCGATAGTTATAGATGTCGTCTTAATTGTAAATGTAAAAATCTATTGAATGCAAACGATTTTAATAAAAAATATATCTAGCAGAAAACCCTCTATCATAGATTTACAGTCAATATACCCTGTCGTCATTGTCCATTGGTTACAGGGTATTTGAAAAATCATTATGACAACATTTCATATGACAAGATGTTATCCAGTACCAAAGACGGACGAACTTCTTCGACTAGTTGCCGCCCGCTTACTATGCCATGAGGTGAGCTGATATCGAGTGCCGGCTGCCCTAAAAGGCAAAGTCCACTCACTCTGATCTTTGGCCAGTGAAATGAACCACTGTTTATTACCGTGAACTGAACTGCAACTGCAACTGCAACTGCAACTGCGGGAGCTGCAGACCGGTTGCATTACGACATCGAGCAGCTGGTTTAGCATAGCAAAGTGGGCCACTTGGCCAACGACTGTGATTAGCCGAAGGCCGATTCTACCTATGTATATACATATATCTAAATATAGAGAGATATACACATACATACATGATTTTTAATTTTTAATAAGGCCATCAAAATGCAAAGCGCAACTGGTGCTCGACTGTTAGTGCTGACTGTGTCTCGACTTGAAGGCGTTCCGTATAAATCGACTTCTGGATTTATATAGTTCCTCAATTGAAATGTTTCTAGAAATAAGGTAACGCTGATACGGAACAAATTTATTATTGCTTTCGACACTATTTGTCACAGCTACGAATTATATTCCTATAACTGATTATATTCCTATATCACTTCAGTAAAAATAAAATTACTCTATTAAAATTAAAATCCAAAATATGAAATATATAGAAGTGAACGGCTAAGTATCTAAATATTAATCATATATTTGAGACCCAAGATGCACTAGCAAATAAATCAATATTATTACTTGAAAGGTACGGTTGATCAATTATGAACTAGTTCCGCAAATGAATCAAACTATAAAAAACATGCACTGCACGAATTGAAAAGTAAAATTAATATTATTTGGCATATCCATTTGATAAGTCAACATGCAAACGATCCCGAACTTGTTCTTTATGTGACTCTACGAGTGCTGCAGCTGTGCAGATGAGCTCATTGAGTATGGGTTTTCCTTATGGCTCTAGCCATGAATCATGCACACTCACACACACACACACACACACACTCACGCATAGCCGGCATCCAGTTATGTCACGTCACGGTGTTTGTGATATAAATAGCAGCAACTGGCAAGCTGACAACAACAACAACAACTGGAAATAATAGCAGATGAGAGTGCCCGTTGCAAACTTCCGTTTTTTCTCGTTCGCTCGCTTGCGGCTGACTTTTACTTTTGCCACAATTGCAGAAATGTGGCAGCAACTGCTGGCAAATGTGGCAATTGCAGTCGCATCGACATTTGCCACAAAATCGCCAACATTCAATGTCTCTTATGTAATTTGGCCGGACGAAAGAAAAAGAAATGAAAAAACCCGTTTAGCCACAGCCGGAGGTGAAGGTGTTCCGACAACTAACTCCGTCTGTCTCTCTCTCACTCTCACCCACACTCTCACTCACACTCTCACTCACACTCTCACTCACTCTCCCACTCTCTCCCTCTCTCTTTCTCTCTCAGCTAGTCAAAACGCTGCAGTTGTTGCTGCCGCTGTCGCTGCGGGCCAAAATCAATCTCAAGTCTATGTCACAGACTCTTGCCTCGAGAAGCCGTACCGCTGCCCGCACCCGAAGATCCAGTTCTACCTGTACACGCGGCGCACCCAGGAGGAGCCCGAGTATCTGGATGTGCTCGATCCGAACGCCCTCTACTACACACACTTCAATCCGCGACACCCCACCAAGATCATCATCCATGGCTTTGGCGGCGGTCGCATGCTCAGCCCCAGCCCGGACCTCCGGGAGGCGTACTTCAGCATCGGCGAGTACAACATCATCATCGTGGACTACAGCAACGCGGTGAAGGAGCCCTGCCTGAGTCAAATGGAGTGGGCGCCGCGCTTCGGCAGCCTCTGCATCTCGCAGCTGGTCAAGTACCTGGCGCGACATCCGCGCGGCGTCCAGCCGGACGATCTGCACTTCATTGGCTACAGCGTGGGCGCCCACATCGCGGGCCTCGTTGCCAACTACCTGAAGCCCGAGGAGGGCAAGATCGGGCGCATCACGGCTCTGGATCCCACCATATTCTTCTATGCGGGTGCGAACAACTCACGCGATCTGGACACGAGTGATGCGCACTTTGTCGATGTCTTGCACACGGGCGCCGGCATCCTGGGACAGTGGCACTCGAGTGGACATGCCGACTTCTATGTCAATGGCGGTACCAGGCAGCCAGCGTGCGTCGGCTCTGCCACGTTGTTTCGTAAGTTTCGGGGGGGGGATGCCTGAGCTAAGGACTACAGAAAGTTATCGATGAATTTGTATCGGGTTCCGATCAATTTCGAATAGTGCCAAAAGTTGGCAAAAATGAGTTTAAAATCAAGCAAATAAGTAGAAGCAAATCTATTGATATCACCGTATCTCCTACCGATGAGAACTTATCGACTATCGATAAATAAAGATTTGAGCCTTGAAATCTAGTAAGCAATCTAGTATGTTGATATAGAGATCTTTTTTGAGACTAACTGGATATATTTAACTATCGATAATTATCGATAAGTCAGAGTACGTATAGGAATGTTTAAATTAGAGAAATATTCCCCTGAGCTCTCTCTTACTGTAATGCAATAAATATTTAAAATATTGGAATTATCCGGTAACACATTTATCGATAATCAATTATATCTTCCAATTGCCCTTATTATTACCGATAGGGTTCAGCGCTCCAAAATTGAGTTCAGGTAGCAATTTAAAAAATTAATCAAGTAGAAATCGAAACAGTTTTTAGTTTATGATTATGTAGAGCAAACAGCAGTTAATCTGTATTCATTCATACATGGAGATATTATTTACACATCTAAAACTTTCCTCAGAAACTTTGGCCTGCGATCACACCAAGGTCACGCCGTACTTTATCGAGTCGATAACAACGAAGCGAGGCTTCTATGCGGGGCCCTGTCCGAATCTGTTCACCTATCTGATAGGATGGTGCGAGCCCAAGGACTCGGAGTATGTGCTCATGGGCGAGCACTGTTCGCACAAGTAAGTCGACTTGACAAATATTCGACTATTATTTTCTATATGTATTTCATGATTTGTGTTTAACAAACAGAGCACGTGGCAACTACTATGTGACGACGAATGCGAAGGCGCCCTTTGCACGCGGCTTTCCGGGCAAGGGGCGGGCCAACGGGGAGTACCAGGGCGTAAGGCGCTGATCGGCTGGTTCGAATCGAGTTTACTCTATATACATAGACATATAGTATGTTCGATGTAGCACTCATGTGATTTTAGTTCGTTGTCTCCTAATTACGTGTACTTGTATTTATTTCCCACTCGTTTCATCTTAGTTTTTACCATCCGCCGCCATCGTCGTCGTCCGCGCCTCGTACAAATCGAAATCTAATCATTAAATTTAGCTAAAAATCAATAAAAAAAATACACAAAATATTCTCTGTAGTTGTTTTTTTCGGCATAATTTGTTAACATGTTTCGTTTATTGAATTCCAAATACAATTTTTTGTTTAGGTATAATTTGTTAAGCCTTTATATGTGGTTCGTATAGTCGGGTTGCTTGATGGGGCCTATGAAATAATGTTGTGGCTTTAAATGAAATACAATTTTTATTTAGTTTCTTTTTCCATTTCGTTAAGTATTATTTGTAATTAGTTTGAATGATATCGGCATATATATTATGAAATATGTTCTTGAATACCATTTTTAGACTAGATCATAAAATTATACAACATTGGGCGGGTGTTGCCAGAAAAGGGATCTTGATTTACTTTTATCTTTATATATATTTTATACATTCACTAGTTGTTGAACAAAACACATAAATAATACATTTAATTATATATATATATATATATATATATATATTGTTTTTAAATTTAATTTAAAATATATATACATAGCACGAATATATCGATTATCGAAATAGACTTTTCAAATATTTTATTCTTTGAAAAGAATATTTGAAGCACGACTTGCCGCAGCTTGCTTGGGTAAGTTGAATTTGTGTTAATTGTGCGTCTATATGTAATAGATGAGTTTATTATAATATATTTGTATTTAGTCATAGTCGTAGTACCCTAGTTATAACCGGTTAATGGGCTTTAAATGATATTCATTGCAGTTTGTGCTCCGATTCGCCAGTTTATGATTTCTTTTTTTATTATTATATTTTGTTACTATTTAAATATGAATTTTATTTTTTATGTACACTTAAATTACTCACAAAAGCATTTAATGATGGCATTTAGCTAGTTATATTGCACATATAAATATATATATATATATGCATTCAGACAGTTGGGTCAAACGTTCAACAAGTATTTCGTAAGAGGTTTTTAGCTAGAGCTTCATACATCTATAGAAATGTTTTTGGTAAAACAATAAACACTGTGGCGCTTTTGTTAACATATTTGTTATTATTGTCCACACAGCCTTGAGAGCTTTTCTTGCCTCTCAAAATAAATGGAAATCAAACTATAGACTTGCAAATAATATCATTCCAGTTTACATATGTATAGTTAAGTGAGCTAATGACAATCGAGAGCCTCGTTTATATTCATCTCTCCTGTCAAGAACCTTTAACTTCTAGAGACACACATATACATACGGAGATTTATATATTCATGTATATGAATATGTATTTGATAATAACTACAATAGTTTTGAGCGCATTTTATATATGCATTTATATATACAGGTTCTGATTTTGATTTCGATTAATGCTAATATTACACATACGCCCCAATGGCCGAACGTTTATTTTGTTTTTGCCTTTGCTGCCAATTTTTGAGTAAAAGCATCGAAATTTCAGCCTACATTTAAATTAGATGAACACTTAAATCATAAATGAATACATGTGTTTCACTATATAGATATATTTATATATATTAACAAAGCTTATTTAACTATTTATTGTCGCTTTCACAAGCAGTTTTTTGGTATTTGTTGTTTTCTTTAGTTTATAGTCCAACAACACACATAACAATTAAAATTTATCCGATTTCAATTAGGCTCTAAATAATATTAATGTATAGATATTAGTATATATATAATTATATAATATTCGCTGCTCTGTACAAATTACGGTATAAGAATTGACTCTTTAGTTAGAAAATTTTCACATTTTATTAATACATAGTGGTTTAATTGTGAATAATTTGTTTAATATTACAATTTTATATATATTTATATAATACTTGCTAATAGGTATATGTTTTTTTAACAATAATAATATAATACAGTTAAATTATGCGTTGTATATAGTTGTACAGTTGACGGAGAAAGTAAGTGCGTCTATGCAGAATGAAAATAATAAGAATGAAATATGTATATAGTGAAGTTGTGCTCAGACTAAAAATATAAATAAAAGATTATAACATTGGTGCATAATTATCTAAAGTGCTCAAAAAATATTTGAGTAATTTTTAAATACAAAAATTATATAAAACGAGTGCATTAAAACTAAAACTAATTAAAAATTATATAAATTTTTATTGTGCGCTAAATAATAAATTTAAAGGACAAATTTATTCGGTGCATTTAATGTTACCAAAGTGCTCTCAAAAAATAGTATTAATAAATATAAATAAATATTTACATTAAATATATATTAATTATTATATTGTGCTATTATTGAGTAATATATACATAAAGAATCTGCCTGTTTTCTCGTTTTATTAAACATGCATAAATATTATTATAAATAGTTTAAAATATTTTTAATGATTTACGTTAAATTTTTATTGTATAAGCAAAACGCGGCTGCTGAGCCAAAAGTGAATAAGGGATATATTTTTAAAATGAAAAAATATTTTTGTAGGTTACAAGTATCATTTGAAAAAATATATATAATTTTATTTTTTCTGAATTAAATTTTCAAATTTTATAATAATAAATTACTCTATTTTAAATATATTACATTCAATATATTAAAAAAAAATTATGTTTGTTGAATATAAATAAATGATTCTACAAATTATAAATAAAACGTGATTTGCATTTGAAGAAAGTGCAATTAAAATTTAAAATATTTACAAGTAAAATTTTGGAAAAAAAAAAACAAAAATAGAGTTAAAGCTTGAAGGCCAGCAGGAGTTTTTGCTTATATATATTCTTTATATATATATGAAGAAAATCGTTGGATGAAGATTGAAGATTGAAGAGCATATTATGAAGACCAATTCTGAGGTTATTGGCGCCTACTGCTAGCTAATGCTTATGGGCCTATGCTAATTCATATGAGTTTAGTACCTATATCATGCCATTGCTCGATTCGTGCCATAAACCAAAAGCATATATATGTATGTAAAATGTCATATAATTTATAATTATGAGTTAAATGTAGTAGAAGTATACTGTCATTTTTTTTTTTTTTTTTGTTTATCATTCGTGCCGAACATCAACAATTGCTTAGTTTTAGTTGGATAAGTTTATGATTAAAATTTACTAATGCTTAGATATTGACGACCTTCAGAGTCGCGCCTTTATCCATATACATTGAATATCATTAACGGTAATAAAACTTGCAGTTTTTATTTATAATTGATTAACTGCTAACAACAATTAATTCGCTATTATTATATAATATATTTATATATAGTGTCTATATAGTTAGTTTGAAATTATTTATAATAATATTTCGTAACGATTTGAGACGTGCTGCGTGTGCCTGGATTATGTCGGTTTTAATGATATACACAAATGTCGATTATCATAATAGTTTCTATTTGTCTTCATATATGTATGTATATTTGTTTCTCATTCTGCTGTAGCTTGTAAATAGAGTTCTGCGCAAGCGACGCTTAAAAGTAGGCTATAGATTTTGTGCTTTGCTCTTGGGGGGCCAAGTTTAACGTAATCCTTTGTGTCCTGTATACGCGTACAATATGTAGTTGCTCTGTTAGGTACATAGTTTCATTGTGTTAGTGTGACGTGTGTGTATGTGTGAGTGTGAGACTTCTGTTCTATATAGAAATTCGTTAGACTCGGCCTGAAGTTCATTATCGTTTTCAGTTTCAGATATATATTTATATGTGTGTGTGTGTCGGTTTTATATCTTATATACAAATCAACCCCATCAGGAACAAACAATAAACGGACTATAACTAAAAGCTAATTGTATATCAGTTGATCTGCCATTTGTTATCGCTTACTGCTGCTGTTGGTAGGCCTGCTGCTCGTAGGGATTCGTCGAGGGCATCGCCTGTCCTTGCGTGTAGTCCGTGTAGCCGTATCCTTCGCTCGGCTGGGCGGGCTCCTCGGCAATGGGCGCGCTCGCTGCCAATGCAAACGGATTGTTGGCCACGTGCCCGGTGGCGCCGTAGCTAATGGCATTCGATTGCTGCATTTGGCTCTGCTCCGTGTACTCCGGTGCGCCCTGCAGAGTGGAGAGCGAGAGAGAGAGAGAGAGGGAGAGGGAGGAAGAGAGAGAGAGAAGGATATTAAGTCTGCCTAATGCATAGCGTGCTTGGCTTACAAATGACGTCTCCTTCATGTAGTTGCCCATCATACCCGCCTGGCTGGGATCGTCGCCGTGGGTAATGGCGCCCGCCGGCGGTGCCCACACCTTTTGCTCCTCAGGCGGCGGCTCGGCCCAAGGCTGCAGCTCGCCGGAGGCAAAAATGCCATAGAAAGTGCAGCCAATCAAGTGAACACAGGCGGCCAGGGTAAACACAGTGGTCCAGCAGCCAGTCGGCTATAGTTCAAATATAGATAAAGTGTGCTCAAATCGTACAGCTCTATCAATCAACTCAATCCACTCACATTCCTCTGAATGAGGCCATCCAGCGCATAGGGCACGATTATGCCAGCCAAGGTGCCAATGCCATTCGACAAGCCCATCAATATACTCGCATACCGAGGCGCTATGTCCAAATGGTTCACATTATAGCCGGAGATGGCAAAGCCGCTGAACGCCACGCCACAGGTCAAAGCAAACATGGCGCCAGTCTAAGAAAATGTTGCATGAATATAAATAACAATATATATACTTAATTTATCCATATAATTTGGAAAGTATAAATATTTAAAAAAAATAAAATATATAAATAATAAATATGTCAATATTTTTTACTATTAAAATAAAAAAAACAAAAGTAAGAGGAATAATTTATAAATAAAAGCATGTAAGAGCACTGTTAGCTACTGCTAGTTTACATGTTAATTAACAGTACGTCTATCTACCGTACTGTTAAATATCATATTTCACCATATAGCTCTTTTTTGTGCGCACAGAAACGAGCTGTTGGGTTAAAAATGTATTTTAACAGTGACTTAACATAGTACTGGTAATGGCTTTGCTAGGATGGAGATCAGGAGATATAGAAAAAATATAATTTTGAATAAGAAATGTATTCCGATTATAAGGATACTCTGAGACGGAAACAAAACATTTTCTCTTTTTAAATATTTAATTATTATTCTTAAATTAGAAAAATTTATAAAAATAAAAATTGAAAAAATTATTTATTAATATCATGTATAAAATATAATAATAAATAACCATAAATTTACATATATATTTTAATAAGGGTAAACAAAAATTCTTTAAAAATCGAATTATATCATATAAATAATTAAATAGAGTTCCCAAAAGGACTTACTGCCGTCTGGGAGTGCGCCACGAAGAGGAAGAAGAGACCCTCCATGCCGAAGCCGCCGCAGTTGAAGAGCTTACGCACGTTCGTGGTGGAGAGGATGCCGTTCTTGCGCAGATGATCCGCGAGCATGCCGCCGAAGGGCACAATCGTGGTCATGATCAAGTGGGGCAGTGAGCCGACAAAGCCCGCCTCCTCGACCTTGAAGCCGAACTTGTGCTTGAGGAAGGAGGACTGGAAGAGCACCAGCAGATAGAAGTTCCAGGAGCGACAGAAGTTGGCCACAATGATGGCATAGACGGGCATCGAGCGCATCATCTCGCGCCACGGAGTCGTCTTGAAGGACGGCATCGTCGGATGCGCCGACTCGCCCAGCGACTTCTCAATGTACTTCAGCTCCGGTATGCTAATCGCAGGATGTTTGCGCGGGTTCTCGAAGCACAGCCAGATCCAGAACAAATACCAGATGATGCCGAAGGTGCCGTACGCATAGAAGGGTGCCTGATAGCCCACCGCATCCGCCAGCAGCCCGGACAGGGGCAGACCCACAACGACGCCCGCGTAGGAGCCGGAGAAGGCCAATGTGGCTAGGCGAGAGCGCTCCATAGGCGGCGCCCAGAAACGCCAAATGCCATGACAAGCCGGATATGTTACGCCCTGAGTGGGAGGGAGAAATAGAGTTAGAGAGTGAGGGGGAAAGAAAGAAAAAATGATTGCCAAACAGACACAAAAGAAATCGCATTAAAATAAATGCTTTTGTTATTTTGCCTTCTGTGTGTGCCCCAAATCCGGAACATGTTTTCATTTCACATATTTGCTTTATCATATAGCAACCCCCCCAACGCACACACACACATACAATAAAGCAACCCCCCAGCTCTGGCTACCCCTCTACACTTTTACATGCGTAATCCTTAGCTTTGATCTGCTCAAAAACGAATTCGATTTGGTTTTTGGTATATTTGATATGTGCTACATGATAGATATATGTTCTCCGTGACTCACCTCGAAGAGTCCTTGCAGCACACGCACGCCTATCACCACATGGCCGTGCATCAGTGTCATGGCAAACGGCACAATCAAATGCAGCGAGGCGGAGCTGACAATCGAGAGACCGAAAATCTTGTTCGCTGGAAACTTGGATGCAATGAAGCCGCCGGGTATTTGTGTTATTAGATAGCCCCAGAAGAAGGATGAGTCCACGTGGCTTTCCACTGCCACCGTCCAGTTCATAAAGACGGTCTGTGAGTGAGAGAGAGAACGAGAGAGCGACAGCAAGTGAGTGAGAGAGTAAAAGTCGCAATCATTAAAATTTTGTGCCGCGGGCTTTTATTAACGAGCGCCAAACGGATGCTCTATGTGTGCCTGTGTGCCTCTTGTGTGGGCGTGGCTTTGTGTGTGACTTTTGAGTGATGTGAACAAACACACACACACACGCACATAGACTCCCATACTCGCACACACACTCTAATTGACAGCAGCTTTGCCATCAAATGAGGCAAATTGAATTGAATTCCCATGCTCGAATTCCGTTCATGTTTTTAAAGACTTTATGAGAACATTAGAGAGCACATTTATATGAGAAATTTAATATGTATAAGCTGTCTTAATTTTTTGAGTATTCGTTAATAATAAGTTTTTGTTAATTTTAAAAATGTTTTAATTTAATAAAATTAATATTTTCTTGAAGTTTGACATAAGACTTATTTTGCTAGATTTTTCAGTGTAGCTGGGTGTAGAAATGATTTCATTCACTCAGCGACCCATATAAATCAAAAGTACTCTAAAAAATAAAAAACAAATATTTCTATGAAAATTTCTAAATTATTATTATTATTTTTTTATTTTTTTATATAGCCAAGTCCATAACAACTCATATCGAATTTTCAGTTAATTTTTACTGCAGTTTTCTATCCCTCGACCTACCCCGTTATGCTCTCCTTTGAGCTTCGCCGCTGACATGTTGCAGCGCATGCCGAAGGCAATCATGAAGCCCACGCAGGCCATCGTAGCGATTGTGTACCGTGCCGGCATGCAGGGGCATTCCGCCTTGCAGTACTTGTCGATCTTGCGCAGAGGTGGGCGCTCGATCTCCTCGAAGGAGGCGGGCGAGTCGGGTCGATCGTCGTCGTCGTCGTAGGCGTGACCGCCGCCAGGTCCACGCCCCTCGCGTTCGCCGCCCTCCATCTCCTCGTAGCCACCGTGACCTCCATGATAGCTCTGCGATATCTCGAACTTCTCCATATTCGGCTTCAGGCTGCAAGAAAGGTGAAGGGAAATAAAGGTGAGAGGTCACATAACTCATGACAATTAGTTGACAATGTCGAGCAACAGGTGAGAGCGAGTGGGAGAGGGAGAGGGAGAGTCTGGCATTTGGCTCAGGGGAGGCGTAAAAACACAAATATTTTCAGCTTGTTAGGGCAAGAAATTTGACTGCCTCTTGTCTTGCCCTGAGGGACCTTGTTTGCCTTCCGTGGGGGGTGATTCATTCAATTGAAACTGAATTCAATTCCATTAAGTGCTGCGACCGAGAAAACTGATTTTCCCAGCCAGGTAAACCGCTCTCGATTCAGATTTCGATATCAGATTGTGGCTTAAAGCTAGCATTTAGCGCTGACAAAGGCTGATTGATGACAGACTGTGGACATTTGGCTTAATGCATAGGCGAGGGTAGCTCGAGCATTAACCCAGCCTAAGTGACACATCAACATTGATAACCTCATCACTGGTGGCATTAGCAACTCTCTCCCTCTCCCTCTCTCTGTCTCTCTCTCTCTCTCTCTCTCCCTCTCTGTCTCTTTCTCAGACTCTTTGGCATTCCGTCTCATAAATTTGCAGACAAACGCCGTGGCCCACCTCCTTCGATACAGAATAAAAATCCACTACTGTGCCAACTTCAATATCTCTTTTTTCCCCGTCCGCGTCGCCGTTTGTCACATAACTCAAATGTCTGACGCCAAAGCTACCCTCGTCTGGTCACGCAGCTTCCTTCTAGTCCGCGTAGTCCTCGCAGTCTTTGCCTCGTGCCTGCTGCCTTGTGCCTTGTGCCTTGCGCCTTGACCGAGTTTAATGCCGGCTTGTCTGTCGCCAATTTTATACCCGCTATTTATGGATCCCCACACACACACACACACACATGCACTCACATGCACACTCACATTTATATAACTTTGTTTAGAGTAGCTGGAACTTGTTCACATTGTTTGAGGAGGAGCGCAATGAGATAGCCCTAACTATATAAGCATATATAATGCGTGTAGCTTGGATTGATTATGATTTGTAGTCAATAGAAGTTATCGCTCTATATATACTATTTCAGCTTCTAGACTGATTGCTTGATTGACAAAGTTGCTCAATCAAAGTTGCTCAGTCTTCTGATTGAGGGACTAACTTAATTGAACGAATTTATTGTATACAGAACATCATTAGCTTTCTTATAAAGATAGCTGATTGATTGACTACCTGATTGATCAATCCAATAATGTATGTTCATTGACTGTGTCATTTTAAACGTATATTATCTATTTGGATAAATAACTTGATTGACAGACTGGTTGATTTGCCTATATACAGATTGTTTGATTGATTGATTGACTAAAGGAATATAAAACTGATAAGCTGACTGTTTGATTGACAGACAATGTTTAGCTCATAGAAAAATTAATGATTGCTTAACAGTTTGACTCATTTGGCTAATCATTGACTGTCTGCTTGAATGATTGACTGATTATTTCATAATGTGACTGACATTGATTAATAAATAGATTGCTTAGTCGACAAATTGAATGAGTGACTGGTTGACAGACTGACTGACTGATTTGCTCAACCAAAGTCAATTAACTAATTTTCTAGCTACATAACTAGCTGACTGACTTCATTAACTGATTGATAGATTTTCATGATTGACTGATTAAACTGAACTAATAAAATTTGAGCATAGAAAACTAAATTTTTAATTGTAAAACTATAAGAAATATCTCTAGTCATTTTATACCGAACTGCTTGATTGACGGAGCTGATAAAAGATGAAGAAAACTATGAAACTAATATATTCTAACATAACTTATATCACTTTATGCCCAAAGCTTCTAGTCATACATCATCGCACTATTGGCAAGCGTATCTCGAATTCGTGCCAAGTGAAGTTCACTTTCCTCGACTGTCTAGAGTTTCTCTTGCTTTTTTGCTTTGTTGATAAACTATTGCTCAAGTTTCTCTTATTTTCTTTTCTTTTTTTTGCTGGCACTTATTTGGCGGGTTTTGATTGTCAGTAAAAATGTTGGAGACTTTTTGGCGCCGCTTAGATTATGGCTAACTGGCGCCGCTGTCTTGGCAGCCACGAAGGCGGAGTTGGAGTCGGCTGAAGGTTGTTGTGGCCTGGCTTTAACTTGGGCCACAATGGACGCGCCCATTAGTCGAGCATTGGGGCAAAATGTTTGACTTGGCTTGTCAGAGACACGACTCGGCGACTCCAGCTGGGAGGCAGCTCGACAATTCTAATTTCGCTGAGGACACAATGCTCGACTTGTCCTTGAAGCTGTACGCATTTCAATTTCTTCTCGCGCGCGCCTTTCGAGTGCCACTCGACATCAGGCACAGATCCTGGCAACCGTTTTCAATGAGCTCGTCGAAATCAATTTCATTTGCGTGCAGCCTTTTGAATTTCAAGGAGACCAGGCTGCCTGACTGCCTGACTGCCTGTTGGTATGCAACACTTTTTTCTCCCTTTCGCTCGATGCTTCACACACATTCCTTAATGAAAACGAGCTATCACCTATTGTTCCAATTTCTAATTTACACTGCGCGCGTCTCCCCGCTCGAAAAAGTCCTTGAGCAAATCAGTTGTTCACTCGTAATCGAGTCCTGCTGTTGCCAGGAGCGTGCCCATAAAAATTGCATACCACACATTCACTTTCACACACACACTCCCACTCACACTCACACTCACATTCGTATTCACTATTAGTGCTCTGAGTCAATATGCTCATGACTCTTTATACTGTTTATACTCGTTTAGGCTGTGAGAGGGGCATATTGTCTCTATGAATAATCCTTTATTCGGTTTAGATATCAAGTTTACCAAATCTTTTGACGCCATTGAAACTAGAAGCTTGTTGTTTTAAACATAGCTGAATATATCCATAAATCAAGAGAACTTGCCAAAATCGGAAAACGATCTACCTAAAATAGAAAAACGATATCATATACACTATTCAATTCCTCAGCTTAATAATGTAGAAACTCTCTCAGTTTAAGAAATCTGACAGCTAAATGAACCAGAAATGAGAAATCTAATCGGTAACAGCTGTATAAGAACTATCGATTTATATGCTCTATAGTAAACAAGTAAATGGGGGTAAGATAGCCTATGCCATCATAACCTATCCCATCCCATTCTTTGCTATTCCATCATACACAGCTTTAAAGCGTATACCTGTGGAGCTAAGAGCTTCATGTCGAGTAAAAGAATGTTATAGCTTATATCCTTTACAGTGAGACTCAGAATTTTATATAGTTCTGCACTGAGGCATGGCGAAACTTTATTATTTTATGCAAAATGTTTGTGTATTTTTCACAAGCTTGGTGTTGAGCTTCTCCGATCAACCTGCATTGATAGGGCCCCTCTCCTCTCTGTGAATCAATCGACATGATATTATTATTTTACCTATATAGACATATCAATCTTACAGAGTATTTAAGTCATAAAGAATAATCAAGCTTTGGAATTCACAGTTGAACCTCTAAATATAGATCTTCATATAAATGTACAACGATTTCAATTCGTGCTACTGAACCGTAAACAAGTATTATACAGTCAGTTATGCCCTAGAGTAATGCCCTTGCCGAGTGTATTGTTTACCATGAGCCATCAGTGCCACGCAGGGGCAGCTGTTTGCTTCGCTTCCGCTGGAAGCACGTGCCACGGCTGGCAACGTGCACGAAATTCCTGAGCCAACGGTGAACGTCTCGGCATGCCGTTGCCTTTCATAACTGGCGGCCAGACAGATTGACTGATTGACTCACGGACTAGCTGGCTGATTGACTGACTGACTGACTGACTGACTACAGACCGTAGTTGGCTGCAGCTTCTTGTGGCCTCTTTAATGACTTGTTAAGCATGCCAATAATTTTTACAACTTTGCGACGCGCCACAGCGCGAGACGACGACACGTGCCCAACTTTCGCGACGCTGGCTAAGTCCCGCCCTCACCGCCTATCTAAGTACTTCCCACAGCATCCTTTTTGCATGGTCAAGTTCAGCCAACCACGCGTCACGCTCTCGTCTCGTTGCTGATCAACGTTGCGTTAAATTAAATTTTTTTCCTATTTTTCATTCAGTTTTTTTTTTTTTTTTGGCCATTGCCATTTGATTGCAATCATATTTCAGTCTCGGCATATTGCACACTCATCATTTGCGACACTAGCCTAGAGAAAGTTGGAATTTAGCAAAGCATGTAAAGCTGCATATATAGGTTTTACAAGAGTTTCTTTCCTGTTGTCATTGATTCTAGGAGAAAAGTTACTAGACCGGATCGCGGTTTAAAATATATTAAGGAAACATTATATATGTGTATTTCTTCTCCTAACCTTTATGTTATATGTTGCTCATCCATTCATTTCTGCCGAGATAAAATTACCCAAAAGAGAGAAGAGCTCTAATCCAAAATATTATATAAAAAAAGCCAACTGATCTATTCTATTGGAATTCCCATAAAAACTCTAATTTGTCTCTTAATTATTATTTTGCTTTTCTTATAACAACCCCATTTGCGTTGCGCAGTGTAGTTCTATTCATGATATTTTCATTTCGTTCTGCTGGTCCACTCACCCGCTGAAAACGCCCGTCGCCTTCTCCTTAAACGCCGTCAAGCCCTTCATGATGCGACTTTTTGTTTTTGTTCACTGGCTTTAGTTATTGTTGTTGTTGTTGTTGTTCTTGTTGTTATCGTTTGTGCGCATAAATATTTTGTTGCCTACTTCACGGCGGCTTGGCTTTTAGCTACTCTCTGGGCGTGTCGAATCGCAGCGGGGCTAATTTTATAACTCAATTTTGGTTGGCTCGTTCGCTCCGACGGGGTTCCAAATTTGTTGCTGCTGCTGCTGTTATTCGTCGTTGTTGTTGTTGAAAAGGTGTTGATGTTGCATTTTCACATTGCCTGCCAAAAGAGAAGAATTGAGAGTTAAACAGTATTCGTTATTATTGTCTGCCTCGTGTTTTGCTGCTGATAAGCAAAGCCTGAAGAGCTCAAAGTCTCATAATTTGCCACATTTGTCGTTCATTCATTTGTGGCTGCAAATGTTTCTTAAGCGGCTTATGACCATAAATTTCGCCTGCCATTTGATAGTCGAGTTGAATTTTTGCGGGTCTTGCAATTGGTTTCTGGGGTAGGTTAAATAGCAATGAAGGTGACATAGGAAAAATGTTTGACAGAAAAATTTGAATTGAAAACTTAAATTGGTTTTAAAATGTTTTTTTTTTTTCTATTAGATTGGGAAAATAATAATAATTGGTATATAGACATATCTCTTCTATTAAAGTTTTTGTATACTTTGACCCTAGCTAAAACAAAATTCATTATTAATTTTCAGAATTTTCTTAAAGTCATTATAAATGATAAATAAATAATAAATTTGTATTGTATTTAAGTGTAAATTTACATATAACGACAGCCGAGTAAAGAGCTGAGCATTTTAAAGGTTTAATTTAAATTTGTCCTAAAGTTCATTTTAAATAAACTTTGATGTGCTCTAAAATGAAGCAAAATTAGCAAAAGTCGTAACCGAAAATATAATATATCGCATTCCAATCTCTTCATAAATGTTTCCTATTCCTATTCATACCATCAGTCTAGATACGAGAACAAAAGAAATCAATAACTATCAATGACTATTCAGTCGTCCCCCTATAACACTTGACCTTTAGGCCTTCCGTCACTTACATTGCTCACGAGTATTGCGTAATCCATTTCTCGGCTCGATTATGTAAGCGCCTCACGTAATCCCAATGCCAGTTCTCGTATTAATATTATTTTCGTTTAAATGTGTTTTTATATATATTAAATTTTAAAATTATACAACAAAATTTATAATATTTTAAAATAAATTTTATTTATATTTTAATAACTTTTTTTTTTTTTGGTTATGATATCACAAATAAGGTACACAGATTATAGATATATATTTATTATTTTGTAGCTCAAATCGTTTACAACATAACACGTTACGCTGTAAGAAACGAGGAAGAAGAGAGTCGAAGTGTTATATAGATTTTAGGGTTATGTAAGTGATTTTAGATTAGTTTTATGGAGAGTTCAAAGTTAAAAAAAAATCGGTTTAGTTTAGATTTAGACACAAAAGATTTCGTTTATACACTTTATTTTATTTTTTATTAATTTAGTGGATTTCTAGTTAATAAGTTTTATTAAGATTTTCAATTATAAAATATAGAGTTTTTCAGATTACTTTATATTTTATGAAAGTTTCATACGATTTCTAAGCAACACACGCCCATTAAATGATGGAGGAAAGTGGAACGGAAAAAAATTTAAGTTAAACTTAATTAAATTAAAAAATAAAGCTAAGCTAATGCTAGACGCGACAACATTCAGACAGAGTTGAAGTCGAGCCCGGCGGCTGGCTCGACTACGACTACGACGACGACGACGAGACTCGATTTTTGTAGACGATCCGCGTTCAACTCTGTCTGAAGACTGTGCGGCAGCTCGGCTGAGCAGGCGAGCTGGCGAGGATCAGACAATGAGCGTAGCCCAGGTTGGCGCTGCCAGCGCATGCGACAGTTGCAACATTGTGTGGCAAGTACATAAGCAGCTGTCTCTATCTAAAAGCTATATATATATACATATATATATAGGCAGCCCAGCTGGGGTTGCTGCCTTGGTATATACACTGGAAATTTTCGACTACTGGAACTGGAATGCCAACTGATTGGAAGTCGAACGCGTGGGGTTTTTTACTTCCAAAGAAAACGAGTTTAATCACAACATTTGATTAGCACAAAATCACTTTCGATTACTTATAGTATTTATTTATAATTATTGACAGCTATATACACATATATATGTATATACACATATATATATATTGGAATATAGTTGCTATCTCTGTGTACACACTCACTGGGCACTAACGCTGCGGCGCTTCGCTTTGGCCTCAGCAGGACAACGCACGAAGTGAAACTAACGGCAAAGCCAGCATTTGCCCTTCTTGTCTGGCCAGCCAGTCCAGGATGCTCTGGTCCAGCTTATGCTCGGCGAGCATAATCAGAGCTCCTACCGTCTCGCTCGCACTCGGCCCACACAGCGGGCCGTGGTGAAAAGCTCGCGTGAGGCTGCTGCGCAGGCTCAGCCAGGCTCAATGTGGATGTGCAGGAATTTGTTGGCACTCAGCATTGGTTGAGGGTTGCTTTTGGCAACAGTGTAGCAGGTCGAGTTTGGCCGGTGGTGGGGGCCAAACCACCTGGCCTGCCCGAGCACCAATCAGAGTGCACCTCCACAGACAGACACGCACACATACATATGAACGTGTGTATATAGCTGTAGCTATGTGTGGCATGCGGCATGCGGCATGCGAGCAATGTGAATCTCGGCGCTAACATGTTGCCAAGCACAGGCGGCATTGTTTAGCTAGATATATAACTATATATTTGTATAGCATAGAGTATATATGTGTATATGTGTCTGTATCGCTTGACTGTCTGTTATATAGCGCAAGTGTCGGCCATTTTGAATATTTACTTTGTTTGGCTTCAATTGCTTTTCTATGGCTTTGCTTGTGCGCTGCCGCGATTTATGTTGCAACATTCATATAAACATATTTATTATATATTCATATGTATATATGTTTCGCTATATATTCCTGTCATTTGTTATTGATTGGCCAAGCGTAATGCCAGTCAGCGTCCAGCTTGAGTTTAAATCAACGATCTATCAGCCATTTGAATTATTTGAATGCCGCGTGTTTGCTCACAAATTAATATCAAGTTTTCACATTATTTATGGTTTGCTTTCTTGAGTTACTCTAAATTAACTATGACAATTTATCAGCCGAACAAATTCGATTGTCCTCAATGAGATGACAAAACATTGACTTCTCTTTTATTAATGCAATTCAATTCATTTTCATTTGAAAGCAACTGTCTGAAGTTAATAGACTTTAATGAGATACTCAAATTTATAGCCATCAAAAAGGATGCGAAAAAATAAAAGAGAAAAAGAAAATAATATACTTAAAAAGAAAATAAATAAAGGCTTGAAAAAATCTTAAATATCAGCTATTAAAAATATAAAACGTAATTTCATAATAATTATGGATACGTTTAAAAGAAATAATCATTTTTTTAATTTCTTTAAAATGTAAGCTATATTTTAAATTTAAAACTCAATTCACTTTTAAATTTAAATAACTACATTTAATAAATAGGATAAGTATTATAAAAATATAAGTATTATAAGTATATCAATAATTTCACATAAAATTATTTAAATATCATTTTAGGTTTTAATTCCATCATAAAATAATTTAAATGATTTTAGTAAGTAATTTTTATTGTTGCTTAAACAGAAAATTTTACAAAGAAAATATATTTATATATATAATTTTGAAGTGTTTATAATTATTTGTTAAATAACTAAATATTAAATCTTACATTGAATTTTGCATATATATTTTATATTGTATTTATTTAAAAAAAAAAAAAAACATTATACTAAATATTATTTAAATTTGTTAATTGCTTTAATTTATTTAATTTTTACTATTTACTATTTTTAATCGGGAATTGGGTTTTACAACAAAATTTAAAGCTACAGTAATATCCGGCTATAACGACACCGCCTATAGCGTCTGTACGGTTATAGCGACGAAAATTCTGGTCCCTGTCAAACTTTTATGAGCAAACTTATACGTTTATAGCGCTTTCCGGGTATAACAACGGTCCCTTGAGTGGCGTTATAACCGGATTCTACTGCATATAGTACTTATTAATATTATCTAGTACTTAACAATTATTTAAAAAATAAATTTATAAAAAATTTTGTTGTAGATTTAAATTTATTTAAATTTTGTAAAAATATTATTACATATTAAATCAGTAATATTTGTTATTTATCATTTTAAACGTATTAATTTTTCTTTTTTTTTATTGTAAGGCATATAAAGCGATTCCATATCACATAGCCATCATAGCCATCACAGCCATCATGTATATGGCAGCTCGCAGTTCCATTAAAAGTAGCTACTAATCTAAGCAAACACTCTCGGCAACTGCCTCGCTTCCCATAGCAGGCCGAGCCAACCAATTCATAATCCATAAAAACCTATGGCTCATCTCTAAGTACTTCCATATTTTACCCTCCAACCTGCTGCTTCTTCTTCTGCTGCTGCTGTCTCTGGGCAGCTGCCCTGACGACGTTGCTAATACGACGCATTGGCCTAACCCTCATAAGCATAGAGCAAACAGACAAACAGACAAACAGACAAAACAGACAAACAGTTGCAACTCAGCCAAAAGCTATAATAAAGTTGCGGATGTAAACAACTACAGCGAATAGCTGGGAAATGAAATGAAAATCAACAGAAGCAGGGCACGGGGCAAGGGGCACGGCGCACGGTGCCGCAGAGGATTTTCTCAACATTTTTTCCATCACATTGGCAAAAAAGGATACGTTCAGCTAAACAGGAAGTGAGAGCCGCCCAGACAGTCGACAAAAGCAGAGACTCCAAGGCACCAAAAACAACAACAACAACAATAACAATAACAATATTCTGATATGATATTAAATTTCCAGATTTTTTGGCAGTCCTCTGTATTTGTGTGTGTGTGTGCGTCCGTTTTACTATTTAAACAGAACGCTTAAGGGTGGTGCGCATCCTGCGCCTAACGAAAAGCACGCAACAAAAATCGCATTGATTGACATAAATGAAGAATAATCGAATTGCGCTCATAAAACTCTAAACTAAGTGCCCAACCATGGGAGCTCTGCTGCCGCAGCTCAAGTGTCATCCCACAAACAAGGCACAGTGGGTCATATTTTAAATTTGACTAGCAATAATATAAAATATATTTTAAAAAGTCTCACTCGTACAGGGATCAAAGTGTAGGCTTGAACCAGGCACCTCTTGATCTGGAGTCGAATGCTCTATCATTGAGCTATACCCCTATTAACACCACATGAATCCTCTTTTCGAATTTCCCTTTTCTCAGTTATTCAAGCTTAAAACTAATGAATTACTGATAATGTATATTAAAAAATATATAAGTGTTCTTTGCAGAATAAAAAAAAATATGAAGGCATTTTCCTAAATTATCGAATCGGATTATTTAAAAATTTGATGTAGTATAAAAAAAAAAAAGAATTTTTCCACTGTGACTATATCAGATTAGAACCCCGGTACCCTCTCCTTTCGCAGCCGAATGATCGACGCTACGGAACTACAAACCCTCATTAATTTCGAACTTCTAAGCTTATCTTGAACTTGAGCCTTAAAAAATCTAGCTTTATAAATTCATGACTAATTCTCAGATTTAATTATTTTAAAAAAATATACAATTTTTAGGGGACACCCGGACTTGAACCAGGGACCTCTCGATCTGCAGTCGAATGCTCTACCGCTGAGCTATATCCCCATTGGGATAACAGATTTTTAAGCTTGATTTGAACTTTGTGATCAGTACCCACTGTGCAGCCCTCGATAATGTATAGGCGTGGCTGTCTGCCCCGTCTCATAAATTGTGCGAAAAAAGTGTCAAATTTGAGTTGACAGGCGCGACAGGCGGTGCGGCGGGGCGGGGGCGGGGCGGGCCGAGGCAGAGCCACGTCAGCGGTAATTAGTGCAACGGCGCCCAGAAGTCGACTTCAATTTCAGTCAGCAACAAATTGTTGTTGCTCTGGCTCTTGTCGTTGTTGCTGTTGTTGTTGTTGCTGTTGTTGTAACTCTTGCACTAATTACAAAATAACTTTTATAGACTTTTTCTCCCACTGGCAGCGCGTTGTCATCTTTGTTTGGGATTCCCCGTGGCTTCAATGATGTATGGCTTTTCGCAGCGACATCCTTAATTGGAGT